ACGGACAATCAACACTGCTTGGTTGCGGTTTGGTCTCAAATGAGGACACAAATACATTTGTGTGGCTGTTCAGAACATGGCTTAAGTGTATGCATGGTCATGCTCCACATGGAATTATTACTGATCAAGATAGGGCTATGTAAAATGCGATTCAGATTGTTTTTCCAAATACGAAGCATAGGTGGTGTTTGTGGCATATTTTGAAAAAATTGCCAGAAAAATTTGGATACCACTTCGACAAGGGTTCGATATTTTCGGCAATATATGTATTGGTCTATGATTCCTAGATGGTTGAAGAATATGAACAAGGTTGGGAATCGATAATCGAAACTTATGATTTGCACGATAACAATTGGTTGTCGGGATTATACCAGAACAGATCTCGTTGGGTACCATGCTTCTTGAAAACATCTTTCTGGGCTGGGATGTCGACAACACAACGTAGTGAAAGTATGAATGCATTTTTCGATGGGTATGTACACTCGAAAACCTCTTTGAAACAGTTTGTGGAACAATATGAGCGAGCAATGAGAAACAAGGTAGATAAGGAGTTCTAGGCCGATTTCAAGACGTTCTCCCAAATGGTTCCGTGTGCTACAACATACGAAATAGAGAAGCAATTTCAGACAGTGTACACAATTTCAAAATTTAAGGAAGTTCAAGCTGAGTTTGCGGGTAAAGTTTACTGTGACCTCATTTCTGTGTCGGAACAATTTTTTGGGACAACGTATGAGGTACGGGAGGATGTTGTTTGTGCCGATCGATGGAAGAAGAAAACATTTTTTGTTTCATTTAATAGAGCTCCCATTTATTTGAGTTTTGGGGAATAGTTTGCAGACATGCGATCGCAGTATTGGTCCGTAACAATGTTACTCAATTGCCTGATATGTATATACTGCGGAGATGGACGAGAGATGTCAGTAGACCATACATGAGGATCGCAGTAAAATATGATATGCTGGTTAGTACTCCTGGACAGTTGAGGTATGATGATATGTGTCAGGCATTTGCCAAAGTTGCAGACCTTATGGCAGATGATGAAGCTTGGACTCGTATGATAATGGAATGGATACAAGTTCAACATAAAAAGCTTATGATCACAAAGTCGAGTAGTGGAAGCAATGTTCCTTTGCACCATAATTTAGTCACTCAAGGCACTGGTTCACAAAGTAATTGCAGTGGGAGTGTACGAGATCCAAAATCAACGAAAAGAAAGGGCACACCTAAGAAACTTCGAAGGAAGAGCCTGTTGGAGTCAACTTCGAAGAACAAGAAGGTATTTTAGTTTGTTTTCCTCTAAATGTAAACGAAACTCTAAAAATAATTCTCCTTCTTTCGAATGTATGTACAGGCACCTTCGACAACATGCAAAGGAAAGAGATCAACAACGATGCATAACAGTATACCAGCGGGTGCCGTTGATGTTGATGCATGTCAACAAGAACTATCTTCCACTTGTTTACAATTCTCTTATTCACAACTTTTATTGGTTAGTAGGTGTACCATAGCATTTTCAAGAGATTATTTTTTTTTTATAAAAAATAAAAATAAAAAAAATTTTTTTTTTTTTTTTCATTTTTCGTTAAAGACAATGTTATTTATTACAGGGCAATGAAGAAAGTCGCTCGTTAACACAACACTTTCCGTCTTCTACTTCCATCCGTCCGTCGTCAACGACCTTTATATTCAATCATCAAGGTAAAATGTTATTTATTGTAGGACAATGCTATATTTATTATAGTGTATTCATTAATCTTCTTGTGTTTTAGGTCATCCTTATCCATACTACTATCAAGGAGGTATGGGCTTATGACGTTAATGAATGAATTCGAAGCACCATCCTCAGAAATGCCAAAATGTATTGTTGGATTATACCAAAAATATAGTGCTTATTACAATCAAGTTCACTTGTTATTTTCTTGAAGTTTGGCCTTTCGAATGCTGTATAAATTAAAGATGAAGTTGCATAGTTTCTTGTACATGTTTTCTGCCATGACAACTTTCAATTAATGTGGATGGTATTTTATCTGCAGTGGATGGTATTTTATCTTTTTTACTTGGTTGCAAGAATACTATAAATAGGGGAGAGTGATTCTTATATATGTTGCAATGGTCTAAATGTGGAAAGTTCAAAATTCTTTACGCACCAAAGTAAACTTTGTACCTTGCTTTGCAACACTCTCTTCTTCGTTTAGGTAAAGCTTAGCATTACCAAAATCTGCTGTTAAGATTTCATAGTCAATGTTTCCACATAGTCACTGGATTTGGTAACAAGGTCTTTAATTTTCAAAATCAGACCTTGCTAGTTGCCTTTGTTTAATTAAATTATTTAATGTACTCAAATTGAAATATGTGTTGGCATTACACAGAACATGCAAATACATTAAACATTTCAGTTCATCAACAATAGTGGTCTCTCAAGAATCTTCATTTCCACCAGAAGCTGCTGTCTACTACTACATGAAGAAGAAGTGCTTGTACTAAATGTATTTTCATGAATAAATACCAGCAGGATGGTTGGTTATACACCACAAAAATGAACAAGTGCAAGTAGCTAACATGGACTGGAATTTACAAGTCTAACAAAACGAAATCAAATTGTTTCATTATCCGTTACACATTAAAGCAGCTAGAAAGTAATTTACACGAACGAGCAATCTAAGTTATTTATATATGTAGAGAAAAAACAAATTGCTAAGAAAGCAATCGACACTAATCAACCCGACCCCTTCCGTTCATGTTTACTTCAGCACTTTACTTTCTCTTAGAGATCGCCATGTTTACTGATATATGGATCTCTTCATGGTCTTTAACTTGAACTTGAGATTGGAACATGTGGGAAATATCATCAATTTCAGTATGACTAACGTTGCTAGATTCACCGCTTGATTCTCCAATGTTGCACCACTCCCAAAATCCGCATTTCTCACTACAACATTAGAAGAATTTGCCTTTGTTAGAAGTATCCCTTTCGACCTCAAAACACTTTTGGAAACCTTTCATACACCGTGGGCATCTACGTTTCGTCGGGCATTCTCCAAAGAAGTGGCCCTTACGCCTGCAACTGTGACATATACCTGAATTTTTTTCCTGCCATTCTAAGAGTATAATAACAGAATAAAAACCATATGAAATTAATACACAATGACTAGAAGTAGCTTCCAAAATCAGCATCTCATTTCGCAATAAGCTCATTCTCATTTCACAATTTCACAGAATGTTGAAACAATAATAAAGTAGCTTCCAAAATCAGCATTCTCATTTCACGCTTCAAATCCAGAAAAATGCAAGTCACACTTCAAATTTGGAAAAATCACAACATTTTTTTACTGTTTTCTACATCTCTAAGTATGACAGGAAAATTGCTCACAATCAAGTAACAATAAATCAGTTATCTCCTTTCAATGTTAAAATTGTGTTGTGAAAAATTATACCCACTATGCTTACGGTAAAAAATCTAAAAATCTTCAAACAAAAAGTTAAAACTAACATCAAAGCCTGCCATTTAGACCCAATATACCTGGGTTTTCAAAAAATTAGAACTTATCGTAGTTTACATGAAACTGAGCTGCTTCGGAGAATGAGATGAGAGACTCAGAGGCGTTGTAGCTTACAGGATGTCGCACATTTTCGGTTTATGTGAGGACAGGGCCGGAGGAGTTGTCAGTCGGAGGAAAATCGGCAAAAGAGTGAAGGGATGAGGGTTTCTCGTTGATTTGGGAGAAATGGGGAGAAGTGAGAGAGAGAGAGAGAGAGAGAGAGAGAGAGAGAGAGAGAGAGAGAGAGAGAGATGGCGATTTTCAACTTTTAAATTTTTTATTATTATTATTTTCTTTTTTAAATATGGTCACGTCAGTTTGTAGTCCAATGTTGTAAGGGGGGATTGTACCCATAGCACGACTGTTTCCCCTTTTAAATGTCGAAACGTGTTGGAGAAACTGTGCCATATCATACTTCTATTAGTCATGTCAACAATTCCACCAACACAAGGAGACGAAATTCATCTTAGGGTCCGTTTGATTGCAAGAATGTAATTTGGGTGGAATGAAAATGAATTTTAGGGAATTGAATTGTCTAGAACTTGTTTTGTTGGGAATTGTCAATTAATTGTGTTTGACTGATATAATTTTCCATCTAGATTTTATTGAAATTTTGAATATTTTAGTGTTCGTTTGGTTTTGTTTTACAATTGGGGATAGAATTTGTTTACATTACCAAAAATAATTTTAAAAAATTAAAAAATAATAATAATAAAGTTGTCTAGAAAAGCTTTTCCTATTGTTGGGGTTTTTTCTTTTGTGTCGCCATTTTTATCTGAAGATAATTAATTAAAAAAAAAAAAAGAATGAGCAAACCTTTCATCTTCGGCTATTGGGCAGCATGGGTTAATGTATGATGGTGTGGTTCAATAATCAAAAAGAAAAAGTATTTTTTTTATGTTAAGAGATGAAGTTTCTAGGAGCTAACATGGAATATGGAAGGAAAAAGAGAATTCATAACAAAGAAAGAAAATAATTTCTTGAAGTCTCCAAGCTAACATTGTTATTGACTTTGTAATGATTGTTGGTAAAGATGTTGAATTTGCACCGCGAAAGTCTCACTGTGAAATGATGGAAGAGCATAACGGTTTTACTACATGTACATCACAACTTATAAATTTATTTACTAATAAATGATGTGGCAAGATTTGATTAGGTCAAAATCTCATCAACCAAATAACAGAAAAAAAAACACATTCCCTCTTTCTTTTAACACCTCATCAATTTGTAAAAGATTATGTAAAATAGTGATATACAACAAGCATTTTCCTAAAAGGAATGTCACGAAGAATTTCGCAACACTCTTTCAATATCTTCAACAGTTAACATAGATGTTAGATGTTGTGGTTGCTTCAATACATCACAGTCTTCACAGTTTAAGGTCTTGTAGATGAAGAGAGAAATCAGGATGTTTCTTATTAGAGATTCAAAAACTTCTGCGAACTGAATATATAAAAAAATTTAATTCTCACCCAAATTTCTGTCTGTTTCATTCAGTCCAGCTTTAATAAATTTATCCTTGATCATCCTCGATTCCGTGTAAACTTGTTCCATGCTTCTTCGGTCTTGTGGAGATTCAGCGGAGCATGCAACTCCAAGTTCAAGAATAGAGACTAAGCATGCTGTCTGTTCACTTTGATTTTCTAGGCGCAGAGATGATTTTTCTAGAATTTCCATGACTCGCACTGGTAATCCTATTTTGACAAAATGGTGAAGATTCATATTTTCTTTGAACAGTTCATCGGTCGGCTTTCTATCTGTGAAAACCTCCAATAAAAGAATTCCATAACTGTAGACATCTCCCTGAGTGGATACTTGAGATCCCATGCCATATTCTGCAAAGTTTTTGACAAAAAAATATGAAACTGATTATGTTGTAGAACATGTTCATGCTTTTGGTATTCCAGCATTTTGGTTATGATGAAACAATTTGAATCAATATCAAGAAAGGATACCTGGAGCTGCATATCCAATAGTTCCCTTAATCCCAAGTGAGGAAAACTGTTGTGAAATAACTTCCATTGGAAGCAGCCGAGCTAGACCAAAGTCACCTACATAAGCTGTGAGATTGTCATCAAGAAGAACATTCTGTGGCTTTAGATCACAGTGAGCAACGGGTGTTTGACACTGATGATGAAATAATACAATGCAGAAGCAACGTGTATTGCAATGTTAATTCTCTGAACAATGCTTAACCTAAGGTTGTTCCCTTCAGAATGCAGCCACTTCTCTAAGCTTCCGTTCGGCATAAACTGATAAACGAGAGCTTTAAATTCATTCCCTTGGAAATCAGAACCTGAACAAGCATTTATGACCTTGACAAGGTTTCTGTGCCGAATGTTTCTCAGGGCCTGGCATTCTGCAAGAAAGCTTCTTGAAGCTCCTGTCTGTCGAAGGTTCAGTACTTTAACTGCCACGGTTAATCCATCTGAGCCAAGAGTTCCTTCATAAACAGTCCCAAAGGCACCCGGTCCTATCAAGTTTTGCGAAGAGAATCCAGCAGTTGCTTTGAGGAGCTCGTCATAGGAAATTTTTTGGTAGAATTGCATAGATGGAGATGTCGAACGAGGTCCTTTCTTCCAATATTTTATCCGATATAGTAAGAGCAAGATCAATGATAAAACGGCAATTGCTGCTGTGCTGACTATTGACAATATTAACTTCAGAGAAATGGAATGCTTCTTGTCTGCTTTTTGAGGTTTTTGCGTCCTGCATTTGGGCAAATTCAACTCTTGGATCCCTCCACAAACATTGGGATTCCCAATAATATTCAGTGCACTAAGGTTGGAAAAAACTCCTTGGACAGGCACCTCACCCTCTAGATTGTTGAATGACAGATTCAATTGAATTAAAGAGGAGATATTTGCAGAGTACCTTGGAATTTCACCTGATAGGTTGTTGCTTGAGAGATCTAAGTACACAAGTGCTTGTAGATCTTCCAGCGAAGGAATCGATCCTTGTAGCAAATTATCTTGCATCCACATTCCATCTATGGACAGACATTTACCTATGGCATTTGGAATCTCCCCAGAAAATTTGTTGTGAGACAAATCAATATCAACAAGTTGACTCAAGTTCCCAAAGCCTACTGGCAAGAAACCTGTCAATGAGTTGCGAGACACATTGAAGGCCAATAAAGATGAGATTTCCATAAGTGGCTCTATGGTGCCACTCAGATTGTTGTTGTTCAGATATAGAATGTCAAGTTGATTGCAGTTTACCAAAGACAGCGGTATGGTTCCTGTCAAGTTGTTATCGAACAGAAAAAGATGCTGCAGCTGACTCATATTCCCAAATGAGGATGGGATCTCACCTGTCAATTTGTTGCCATTAAGATAAACCTTTCCCAAGCTGGAAAGCATCCCAATGGAATCAGGAATGGCACCAATTAAATTGTTTTCAAACGCAGACAGGAAATACAGATTCTTAAGATTTTTTATCTCCTTGAAAATGCTGCCACCAATTCTATTCTTCTCGAAAAACAGTTGAGTCAATTGGGTTGACAGATTGCCAATTGAACGTGGCAAAACACCTCCAAACTGATTGCCTCCAAAATGCAGGAACTGTAAATTGCTGCAATTCGTCAGAGAAATGACAAAGTTCAAGTCATCGCTTCCACCACTTCCCAGAAGGTTATACCCAACACTGAAGACCTGTAAGTTATGTAAACTTCCTAAACTCAGTGGCACTTTTCCAGTGAAATTGTTCTGCAGGACATCAATCCCTTCAAGAGCTGAAGCATTGGAGAGTGAATCTGGAATTTGTCCGATGAAGAAATTGAATGCTAATTAGAATATTTTGAGCTTTGGGAGTTCAAGACCTATATTGGTTTGGATATTACCTGTGAAGCTGTCATAAGACAGACTTATCTCTTCAAGTGATGTCAAATTGTAGAGTTGAGGGGGAAATTCACCAAAGAACTTGTTTACTGATACAAAAAAGTATTTCAAGTTCACCAATTGGGATATTGTATTCGGAATTCCACCTCTCAATATGTTGAATGAAACATCAAACATTTGAAGAGACGTGAGATTTTCAATAGAAGCCGGTATAGTACCTGTAAGATTGTTGCTTCTGAGATCGAGTTTCACAAGCTTTTGGAGCGACCAAATTTCAGTTGGAATCTTTACTATGAGAAAATTCTTTCTTAGCACAAGACTTGACAGGTTAGTACAACCAGATAAACTAGCTGGAACTTGCCCTTGTAGGAAGTTATTGCTTAAGTTCAAGATTTGAAGTCTTCCAAGGCTGCCAAGTTCCGCAGGAAGGCCACCACGAAAGTAGTTGTCCGAAAGGTCAAGACTGTAAAGAAAATAAAAGTTTCCTATATGTGGCGCAATGGTTCCATCCAGTTTTTGCCCTTTGAGATTCAAACCCGTAATTCTTTCTTGTCCGTGCCCACATATTACTCCTGTCCAGTTGCAGAAATGAGAAGAGCTATTCCAGGATGCCAAGATTCTTTGAGGATCATCGTTTATCTGGGATTTCAGGTCGAGTAATGCTAGTTTATCTGTTTCATTTCCAAGTACAGAAACTGCATTTATATATTGTAGAAACAACAGATTAAGGAATACAAGGACTGTAAAAATTGATGATGAAAAGAGTTGACTGAAGTTCATTGTATAAACCTCCATCAAATTTATTAGGCTCTCTTCTGTATCTTGAAATTGCAGTTGCGTAATCTATTTAAAGTATTGATATGAATAAAACTGATTCAGTGTAAGATTCCCTGCTGGCAAGAATCCGCATTTTTCTCAAGTCAAATATCTTATTGGATAGGTTTCACATCAAAGAGCACATGTTGTCTTGGATCACATTTTTGGATATTTTTCCCAATTCCATTCATGCTTTATATTCTGGGTAACTAACTAGTTGACTTTGAGCATTAATAAATCTCAACTCTCTATGGTTATGTCATGATATGCAATAATAGTTCTTTGAATTGACCAAAGGTATGGAAAGGGCTTATTGTTGGGATTTCATTGATCTAAAACTCTATCAAGAGAGCTCTTAAAAATATACTTGGATTGTGTATGGAGGAGTTTGGATATCGGTTATACACTTACCGATTATTTAACATACAAAGCCTAAACTACATAAAAACATAAGCATATATACTCCGCTGTTCTTTCTGAACAGTCCAGAGGCGAAGGAGAATTTTTTGGAGACTACATCTTCCTTAAACGTTTTTCATCTATATTTCCTTCTTAATTTCTCTTGCAAATTGGCTCTATTTATAGCCAAACTAACTAGATATTCTACAAGATATTTAGAGATATTTTCTACCTCTTGACTATCCTTTTGCAAGTAGTAGCTTTCAACTGTGCTACTAGAACTTACTTTACTTGTAGAATGGTTTATTACTTTGTCTTGTACTAGTT